TGGGAGTACTATTTTTCGGTAGGGGCCTAGATGCATAAATCCATATTTGTAGGGGTAATGAGAATCTAATTATGTAACTAATTACATTCAGTTTCTGTCCCAGATTTGAACAGATGCAGACCCACTTGCATAGACAATAAGATGAGATAAGCGAGATATGTGAAAAACTTTAAAACCTTAATGCACATATATATTAACATATACACATGTGAGTGTATGTGTATGTGTATATATATAATGTATATATATATATATACACAGACACACACATATATACACACACACATGCACAAATACAGAGGAAGAAGAGGGGGGAGGGGGGAAGGTAGAGAGGAGAGAGAGAAGAGAAGGGGGAGGGGGAAAGAGAGAAAGAGGGGGAGGGAGAGAGAAGAGGCAAAAAGAGAGAGAGGGAAGAGAGAGAAAGAAGAAAAGAGGAGAGAGAGAAAGAGGGAGGAGGAGAGAGAGAGGGAGGAGGAGAGAGAAGAGAAGAGAAGAGAGAAGAGAGAAAGAAGAGAGAAGTGAAAAAAGAGACAAGAGAGAGAGGAGAGAGAGAAAGAAGAAAAGAAAAGAAGAGAGAGAGGAGGAAGAAGGAGGTAGAGAGGAGAGAGAGAATTAGTTGCTGGAGGAGATACAAAATTTAGAGAAAACCCTGATCCTGGCCCCAAAGGGTTCATGATCTAGCTGAAAGAAGAATTCTTAGTGCTGCCTAATCAGATAAAACATTTTTGTTCCCAGCTCCAGGAGGGCTTCTTTTGACTTGAAAGAAGCATGCTGGCTACCCTGGGTGTAGAAGACAGCTAGTATTTCTTCCACCTCTAATGATTATGGTTCTGTGGCTTCTTAGACTAAGAAATGAAATATATACTGAGATGGCTATAATGTCTTCCATTAATAAAAACCATGCCCATTATCACTGGAAAGTGAGTTCCAGGTTAAGTCCTGGAATTAGTGTTATAGTTGGAGAATCTGTAAAGGACCTGGAGTAACCTCTTTTGGTTATTCAGAATTCTGTGACAGGGGCCTTAGTTTGGCATCTTCCCAGATGGTGTTAGTTCCATGAAGCTGTAGGATCCCACATGGGATGATACAGGTTACACAAGAAAGCATCAAAATGATACGTAGGTATTAATTTGTTCAACAAACATTGTGAAATGTCTTTCTGTATTTCCTGTGAAGACTCAAAATTTAGATAATAAATAACCTTCATGGAGGCTGACCCCCACGAATGTTGTCACGGAGCTCACTGTCTAGTAGGAAGATCAGATTCAACTGCAGATAAGTATAATACAATTTCACATAAGCACAAAGTGTTCTATTAGGTCTAAGAGGAATGATGGTTACCACACAGAGATCAGGGAAGGCTTCCTAAAGGAGATGGTGTTTGAGTTAGGTAGGAATTCCCTAGGTGAACAGCAGCATGTTCTAGGCATAAGAAGCATTATAAGCAAATGTAAAGAGGAGAAAAAACACCTTAGCTCATTTGGGAAATAGAGAGATGCCCAATTTTGCTAGAGTGTACAGTACAGAGAGAGAAATAATTAGAGATAAGTCTATAAAAGAAAGTGGTTCCAGATTGTGGAGGGCCTTGAGTGCCAGACAAAGTTTAAGCTTTACTTGGTATGCACTAGGGAGCTACTGAAGATTTTTGAGCAGAAGAGTGACTAGATCTATGTAAGATTATTATGGCAACAGGATGAAGAAAGGACTGGAGGGAGGCTGGAGAAGTGTGATGAAAGGAAGATGTGTTAGGGGGGTTTTGTAATAAACTAGGGAAATGCTATGCTTTTTGGCCCTGAGAATAGAGAGAAAGGAACAGATGTGAGTCATATCAAGGAGGTGAATCAATAGGAATTAGTGACAGCTTGGATACAAGACATGAGGAGAAGGATCACAGTTGTCAGCTCCTAGGTTTCAAATATGGGAGTCTAGGCAAAAGGTGATTCCAAAAATGTATAAAAAATTCTTTACTTGTGGCAATTTTTCAGTATGAAAGTGGACTTTAATTTCCTTTATTTCACTCTGAAATTTCCCAGTCCCTCCTTTATCCCTTTGGATAAAGGGATACTTTCAGCCCCTCCCACTTAAAACTCAGATTATTCTATGGTTGAATGAGTTTGAGAAATATTGCGTTGGCTGGACCGAGACAAAGCCAGTGGCTTCCCCACGTCTGAGAACCAAATGAGAAACAGCTTGGATGGAAGCTGCCCACGTGCTGAGGCTGTTCAAACCCCTGAGGCTCCCAGGGCTGAGGCTGAGATTGGGTTACAGGCTTTATGTGCAAATTCTTTAAAGAAAGGATCTGATTTTCCACTTTCAGCAGTATTTGCCAGCAAGGGAAAAAATGCTTTTAAGAAACTATGAGATTTGAATCCGGCATCCAGGACTGGGGTCCCTGGAAATCAGCTCTGTTGGATACAGGACTGGGCATCCAGCCAACATCTAAACTTCTCGACTGGCTTCAGGTGTCAGCAGATTGCTTCTTTCTTTGTGTGACAGCAAAACCCTATGTGGCAGAGTTGGGGTGGAATTGGTGAGCCTAGACAGAAGCCAGAGTGCTTGGAAGGAGTGAGGGAATTCACAGTGGGACTTGAGGCTTTTCAGGGAGCAGGAAGAAATAATGTCAGAGTGTTGTCATGTCTCTGATTCACAGCAAGTCATCATTCGTAGGCTTCTCCCTGCTCCCACTGTGTCTCACTTTCCTCTTCTGGAGATAATCCTAGAGGCCTGGCTGGATATCTGGCCAACGTCAGGCCTTGGCCATTCAATGAAGTTCTTTGGCCTAGTAGTCATGCAGGAGATGAGGGATAGAAATCGCTGACCATTTCCACCCATTCTCAGGACCTCTGGACACCTCCCCATACACACACAAGGGACAGGAATGGCTACAAATCACGAATCATACTCTCTGGCCCTTCAAGATTTACAAAGTACTTTCTTTGTCACAAGTTCCTTGTGACAGTCTAATACACCCTGAGATAGGGTGTATTAGAAACCTTATTTTACAGAAAAGGAAACTGAGGCTGAGAGAATTCAAATGACTTTGCTCAGGTTTGTACAAGTAGATAGTGTTGGGAGCAAGAGATGATCCCAGGTCTCTGGCTTCTAGGTCAGTGGTCTTTCCAAAATATCAATAATAACCAACTGACGTTTACATAGACTTTATGGTTTACAAAACATCACACACACACACACACACACACATATTCATCTGATGCTCACAACAACCCTATGAAGTAGGTGCTACAGGATTTGTGGTTTCATTGGTTTAAGGAACTCCTAGTAAGAAAACTCCCTCTACCAATCAACATGTTCTGTAATTTAACCTTGGAGAATCAGGCAAATGGGTGGTATAGGAGACGGAGTGCTGGACTTGGAATCAGAAAGACCTGAGTTCAACCCTTGCCTCAGACATTTATCTACTAGTTATGTGACCCTGGGCAAGTCTAACACTCTCTGAGACTCAGTTTCCTTATCTGTAAAATGAGAGAGCTGGAATCCATAGTTTCTAAGGTGTTTTTCCCACCTCAGCTCTAACTCTATGATCTTGTGAGTTGCCAAGGGACAGGGAGGGGGCAGCCAGAGGTTAAGTGACTTGTCCAAGGGCACGTAGTAAGTGTTAAGAATCAGATCTTCCTGATTCTGTGGCTTGGCTTTGTCTATTCACTATGCCATGCTAACTCTCAGTGCTTCAGGTATTATTGAGACCATCTCATGGAAGAAGAAACTAAACCTCAGGGAGGTAAAAGTGATTTGTCCTTGGCCCCACATTGTGCCAGGTGTCAAAACCAGGATTTGAACAAGTGTCTTCCTAACTTACCTGAGATTCTATTCACTATGCAACACTGCCTTTTAAGTCCAAGTCATGGGGCAGCTATGTGGCACAGTGGATAGAGCTCCAGCCTTGGAATCAGAAGGACCTGAGTTCAAATGTGGCCTCAGACACTTGACACTTACTAACTGTGTGACCCTGGGCAAGTCACTTAACCCCGATTGCCTAACCAAAAAAAAAAAAAAAACAACAAAGAAAATAAAGTTCAAGTCACTTAATTTTAACATTAGACCCACACATTTCAATAATGTATGGATCTGTGAGTTCATCCATATGAATACTACTTCCAATAACATGAATGACAGTCCCTTCATGCCTTAGTAGGTAGTTTTATGTGTTTCCGTAGTTTCTTTAAAAAAAGTTATCACCTTGTGACCATCCCACTGGGGGAAGACCTTGAATGCCAGGAAAAATCAACTTTATTTGATAGGTAGTAGTATTTATATGGCACTTTAAGATATATAAGAAAATATGTAAGATATGTAATATTTATATATAAATATATAAGATATATAAGAAAATATATAAGAAAAAAATGCGCCAAGCCATGAGCTAGGGGCTAGCTTATAGGGATGGTTAGGTGATTTCATTGGCAGGGGACTCCCAGTTAGGAAATTCCTTCCTCCAATGCAGATCAGCATCCTATTTACCACTTATAATCATACAGAGCTGAAGAGAGGTGAAGTGATTTGCCCAGGGTCACACAATCATTGTGTGTCCGATGCAGGACTTGAACCCAAATCTTCCTGATTCAGACTGTGGCTCTCTAGCCTTCATTGGCTGGCTTATGACAGGAGCTTAATAAATATTTATTGAATTATATTGGATTGAATACTTCAGAAGGGATCTGAGCAGGACAGGGGACATTGGGATGTCCCATCACCTCACTCACTCTGGACACTGTGACACAGCCATTGGCAATAGAGTTTAAGCGAGAGCTCACAGTCCTGGGTTTTAGGCCTGTATTCAGACCTCCCAAGTCTATCCTTCCACCTGTCCCCTATCCCTTGCCAGATGTCTGAGTTTCCGTGCTCTCCTGTTCAGAACAGAACATGGCTTGCGATTTCTTTTTGTCTTATTGTGTTTAAAGCCTCAGAAACTAGGCAGTTCCTGCCTTCGGGCAGTGATTATGGCAGATGGGGGGAGAGGTCACTGTTCTCCTGTCTTGCAGATTCTACAACAAGGTCCTCTCTTTGCACAAGGGGTCAGCTGCCCCTGTGGGTAACCCTCTGCTGGCCTACACCCTTATTAAGCGGCTACAGTCCGATTGGAGGAATGTTGTCTACAGCCTGGAAGCCAGTGAGAACATACGAGGTACTGAGCGGAAATGGGCAGACGTTGGGAGGGATTCTACTGATTAATGGACATACATCTAGGAAGGCTGCTCCACTCTGTCATGGTCCCATCCCAGATCCATGACTTCCAGGGTCCCCTGTCTACTAATCCAGGCCCATCCAAGAGAAGAGTCAGAGCCCAGAATGCTCTGCTCTTTGATGTGATCAGTACCTCCGGCAACTTGAAGTACAGCCCAGTGCACGAGATTTTCCCCAACGATGCATGCTATCCAAGGGAATACAAACAGACACAGGGAAAGCACCCTGGTAACTAGGCTCCCTGGAGCAACCTTGTTTTGCCAAGAAGAGGTACCCCCTATTTCTCTTTTCTCCTTTCTGTCAGCAAACTCACCTCAGCCAAAAGAGCACTATGACCAACCACCAGAGGACTTCATGTTAAAGCATGCTACTCACCTCTATATAGAGAAGTGATGGAATCAGAATACAGATAGGGGCATATATTTTTTAAAACATAGACAATTTGGGATTTGTTTTACTTGACTATACATGTTTGGAACAGGGGTTTTGTTTTTCTTGCTTTCTCAGAGTGGAGAAGGGAGGAAGAAAATGTGAATCTGAAAACAAAATAAAATTGACCTATTTTTTTTTAAAAGAGCCAACTTAGGGAAGATCAGGGGAGAGGGCTGGGCTCCCTCTGCTTCTGTCAGAGTCTCTGGGGTTATCGGGAGCAGCTCCTGGCTTCCTGCCTGAAATTGCTCTGCCTCTCTTGTTTTGATAGCATGATTTTTTGAGATCTTGGGGAGAAAAAAAAGAACAAATTGTATCAAAAGTTCTTGATGTTCCCCTCCCCGCTTTGGGTTGGGGGAAGGAGCATGAATAACCAGCAGCTAGCTAAATAATTGGGTGATTGGGGTGGGCCCAGCCCCTGAAGCCTGTGAGTAGAGAGGAGGATTCTTTTTTGGCCCAGATGAGCCTGGGATTGGACAATGGACCAGTGAGCTTGTTCTTGTGTTCAGGAGAAAGAATCTCAGGGTGGCATGGGACTGGGCAGTGGAAGAGGTGATGGATTTGGCATCAGAGGAAAACGGGTTCTCATCTTGGCTTTGTCACTGTTTGGGGGCAGATACTTCAGGTTTCAGGGCCTCGGTTTCTTTATTGGGTAAAATGATGAGGCTAGATTACATGACCTGTGAGGTCCCTTCTGGCTGTAAATCTTTGAGTCTATGTCATTTTCTTAGTGAGGCCACAAGGGAGCTGTTGGCCTAATAAGAAGAAATACATAGAAAGGATCATGTATTTAAGGTTAGAATGGGTCTCGAACCCAATCTAATAATAATAATAATAGCAAATATTTATATAGCACTTCCTATGTGCCAGGCTTTGTGCTAAGCACTTTATAATTATTATCCCATTTAATCCTCACAATAGCCCTGGGAGGTAAGTGCGATTATTATCCCCATTTTACAGATGAGGAAACTGAGGCAAACAGGGTTAAATGACTTGTCCAGGGTCACATAATCAGTAAGCATCTGAGGTCAGATTTGAACTCAGGTCTTCCTCGACTCCAAGCTCAGGGCTGTATCCACTGTACCACCTAGCTGCCCTCATTTTACAGATGAGGAAACTGAGGCTCAGAGAGATGGAGTCACTTGCCCAAGGCATAGTTGGTATTTGAACCCAGGTCTTCTCAGTACTTTTCCCACAGTACCATGCTGCCTCCAAAAAATTCACTCATCTGGTGATGAGCTTCTCCACACTTAGCTGAGCTGGTGCTAGGTGACAGGCCCAGAATCTACCACCAGGCGTGTAAAGGAAGCCTTTCTAACTTTCCATGCCCTCCTGGCTTAGCTTGTGTGAACCCAGGGTCACCCTTATGCAACGAGGAAGCATGGGAGAGGGTGGGGAGGAGGCAAGAAGAGAGTACTGTAAGTGACTGTCTAACTCTGGTTCAGTCTAGTTAATTGTCTTCCCTTGGGGGTGGGGAGAGAAGGGGAGGGATAGGGAGAAAGCCCTGGCATGATCCCCATATTCCCCCTTAGTTAGATCCTTCCCATAGTAACATCCTCCTTGGTGCCTGGATAGAAACACAAAACTTAGCAACCATGACTCACAAAAAGCACTCTTCACAACAACCCAATGAGGTAGGGTGGGCAAAGGTTATTATTTCATTCCATCTGTAAAATGGGGATAATAATAGCACCACCTCCCAGGGTTGTTGTGAGGATCACATCATATGTAAAGTGTTTTAAAAATCTTAAAGTGCTATATAGAGTATCCCCAATAGTCTTAGAGTCATGTTAAGCTTTAATAGCCATTTAAAAGCTACTAAGCTTTCATAGCTTACAACAGCACTAAGACTTTTGGAATACCCTGTATAAATGCTAGCAATTATTACAGTTGGGGGAGCTGGAGTACAAAGTAGTTCTATGACTTACCCAATGTCGACCAATTTGTAGATGCCAGAGCCAGAATTCCATCCCAGGTCTTCTTTCCACTATCCCAAGCTGCCTCTCCTACTTGATCAGAGACACCGAACCTTTATTTCTAATTTTGGGTGTTTGCTGATTGCTAATAAATATTCATGGCACATTTTGCAAGAGGCAACATGGCTCCATGAATAGAAAGTCAGACTTGGAGGCAGGAAGACAAGATTTTGCCTTCTGCCTCTGATGTTTACTACCTATGTGATCATGGCTAAGTCCCTCCATTTCCTCATCTGTAAAATGGAGATAATGGACCTCCAGCAGCAGTATGGAACTGACTCATATAAACAGTCGATTAAGTTTTCAGCATGAGCATTTATACCTTGGAAACATACAAATACTACAAATCAGGACTTGATTGTTTTGTGGTTCATCTAGATTTAAGAAAGTGATAAAGACAATGTTAATAATGCAGGATAAACTTAATTTTTTTTTCCTTGTAGGGAGCTGGTTGTTAACATTTACTAATAACTGCCTCTCGGGATTGTCTTAGGGCTCAAATGAGATAATATACGTAAAGCACTTTGCAAACTTTAAGCTACTAAGTATCAGAATGATTAATGTGTGTGTGATGGTCAACATTTTTTATCTGCCAGTGTCCATGGAATTCCTTGGACCCATCCTCTGGTCCCCAGCACCAATGACTCCCCCGTCTGCTCCGTATTTCCCTTTGTCACATGGGAGTGCAGCTTTGAAACCCACCAGGGCTGTCTCGTCCACATTTAACGCTCAGACGCCTTCCGGCTACTGGTCATTCCCATGGCTGCCCCGTCCCATCCCGTCCCCTCCCCCCAAGCCGCTCCTGGGTGATTGCCTTGCAGGCTGCTGTGTTCCATACCACCCACTCTTTGCCTCTTTCCTTCACAGTCTCCTCCTCATCTTCCTGACCACCGAATGTGAATGTCGCCCTTCTTTTCTCTTCCTGCTCTTTCTGTCTTGGCAATCTCACCCACTCCCTTGACTTCTATACAGCTGATTCCCAAATTGATTCTTCTAGTCTTGGCTTCTCTTTTGGACCCCAGATAATCCATATTTCTTAGGTTGTTGTTGTTGAGGCATTTCAGTCATTCCTGACCCTTCATGACCCCATTTGGGGTTTTCTTGACCAAGATACTGGAACGGTTTTCCATTTCCTTCTCCAGTTCATTTTACAGATGAGGAAACTGAGGTAAACAAGGTCAAATGACTTGCGCAGGGTCACACAACTAGTAAATATCTAAGGCCAGATTTGAACTCAGGTCCTCCTGACTCCAGGCCTGGCTCTCTAGCCACTGTACCACCTTCCCACCTGAATTTAGGTTCATAACTGTGGAGCTAGAAGGGACCAGCTTCTTCATTTTACAGGAAGCTGTATGAAGAAGCTGAGACGTAGGTCACAGGGTCACACAGGTGGTAAATATCAGAAGGAGGATTTGAACCCAGGGCCTCTGACTCCAGGGCTCTTTCCACTATACCACGCTGCCCTCCCCACCTCCACAACATGAAAAAAGCTAAGTTTATCATCTTTTTTCCTACATCTACCTCTCATTCTATCTCTCCATTTGTAACCTTGGGGTTATCCTTGATTCAAACCCTCCCTCCTCACTTCTCATATTCAATCACTTATCAGGTCCTAGTTGTTTCTACTTTGAAATATCTCTTGTATTCATCCTCTCCTTTCTAATTTCCACACTGACTCTAGACCAGGCCCCCATTACTACCCAAATGGACTATTGAAATAAATTCCTAATGGGTCTTCCCTGAGCTTACCATTCTCTCCCCTCCACCAATCCATCCTTCATACCCCTTTCAGAATAGTTTTCCTCATGCATGGACCAAGGCGTGTCATTCCTCTGCTCAGAAATCTTGAGTGGTTTCCTGGTGCCTTATTTTAAAATTCAAACCACTTTCTTTACCTGGTGTTGGAGACCTCCCATAATAACACCCTCCATAACTACCTGACTATTCTCCTGTATTACTCACCTCCACACAATCCAGTTCTCTAAATACCCTAGGCAGCCCCCTGCCTCAATGCTTTTGCTCATGCTGTTAATACCCAATACCAGGGGTGGGGAACCAGCAGCCTCGAGGCCACACGTGGCCCTCTAGGTCCTCGAGTGTGGCCCTTTGACTGAATCCAAACTTCACAGAGCAAACCCGTCCTCCAAACCTAGTCATCCTTTAAAGCCAAACCTAAGGGTCTTGTCTCCCAGAAAGGTCCTGGTTTCCTTCCTGTTCTCCCCTCCTTGCATCTGCCCTGCCGTTAATGACCTTCCCCCCAGACCTTACGTAGCACATCCCTGACAACTGTTTAATGCACTCATTATGTAATGTTGCATTACGACATTATCTGGGTTTGTGTCTGACTAGACTATGAGCTTCATGAGAGCAGGGACTTGAGCTGATGCCCCCCAGTGCCTAGCACTGTGCACAGTAAGCATTGATTAAATGTTGGTTGAATTTTTAAATAATACTATGGTACAGTAAAATATGGTAATGGCACAAAAGGGGTAGTAGGAACTTGGCCTGTCATTTTATTGGCATAGGAAACTCCCAGGTGAGGAAACTCCCTCTTCCAATGCAGTTTGGCACCTCCTTGACGGCTTCTAGTCTTAGGAAGGCCCCGAGAGGTTAGGAGACTTGCCTATGGTATTACAGCCAGCATGTGTTAAAGGTGGGCTTTGAAACTGGGTCTCCCCTGCCCTGAGAGCAGCTCTCCAGCTACTGGACTGTGCTTCCTCTCAATTGCACAAAAGATACGTAAAATATGAAATAACACAATATAAGGCAACTGGGATGGTGATGGGGGTGATTGACCGCAAGGCACCTCTGATGGAAAGGAGACAGACTGTCATGGGATGGTAGGAGAGGAACGTTATGAAGTGGGCAGGTTTTTGATCCTCATACATTGAACAGTGAAAAAAGGCTCCTGCCATAAGTCAGTAGAATTCTTGAGCTTTTTAATCACACACACACACACACACACACACACACACACACACACATTCTCTTTAGAAAGTAGACACAGATCAAAAAATTATACATCTTTAGGAGGAAGTTAGGGAACCAGAGGACCATGGTGCATTATAGTGAACTGAAGGTTTAATGTCTTGGGGACAGTTTTCTTAGGACTTGACATCCTGGAACTGGAACAGTGGTATAGGGAGACCCAGTTTGGTACTAAACAATTCCAGATATCTTTGTAAGCTTCAAGGACTGATTCTGTAGCTTACTAGCTTTGAAGTCATGCTAGTATATAGTCATACTAGTCATGCTGACATACATCGTGAAAGTCATTTCATTTTGTCTGTGCCTCAGTTTCCTCATCTTTAAAATGAAGGTGTTGGACTAGATGAGGTTTCTTATGGCTCTAAAGCTGTGTTCTAAGGCTCCTCCCAGCTCTAAGATTCTGTAGTTTAAAGTCTCTCCCATGTCTGACATTCTAGTTTTAAGATCTCTTCCATTCTGTGTTCTAGAGTTCCCCCCAGCTCTGTAAGGTCAAAGTTCTGACATTCTATGTTCTATTCTATGTTCTAAGGGCTTTCCCAGCTCTGACATTTTATGTTCTAAGGCCCCTCCCAAGTCTGACATTCTGTGTTCTAGGGCTCCCCCCAGCTCTGTATGGTCTAAAGTTCTGACACTCTATGTTCTATTCTATGTTCTCAGGCCCCTCCCAACTCTGATGTTTTGTATTCTAAGGCCCCTCCCAGCTCTGACATTCTATGTTTGAATGTCTCTCCCAGCTCTAAGATTCTATAATTTAAAGTCCCTCCCAAATCTGACGTTCTTTGCAGTGCTGACATTTCATGAATCTCTCTGGGTGGAAATCACATTATGTTCACATGTAGTAGGTGCTCAATAAATGTCAGATGAATGAATGCATCTTTTTTATGACTTCACAGCCTTGAAGGACGGCTATGTGAAAGTGGAGCAGGACCTCCCAGCCTTTGAGGACCTGGAAGGGGCAGCCCGGGCCCTGATGCGTCTACAGGATGTGTACATGCTGAGTGTGAAAGGACTAGCACGTGGGGCTTTTCAGAGAGTCACCGGCTCTGGTGTCACTGACTTGTACAGGCCCAGCCAGGCTTTTCCCCTCTCAGCAGATGACTGCTTCCATGTGGGTAAGGTAAAGGAAGGCTGCTGAAAACTGAACAGGCCCGCAGGAGGGAACTCATAATGGGAATGGGAGTAGGGACTAGATTCTAGGAGGGTCAGTTGAAAAAACTGGGAGAGGGGCAGCTAAGTGGCCCAGTGGATAGAGCACCAGCCCTGGAGTCAGGAGGACCTGAGTTCAAATCCAGCTACAGTCACTTACTAGCTGTGTGATTCCAGGCAAGTCACTTAACCCTTATTGCTTTGGAAGAAGAAGAAGAAGAAGAAGAAGGAGAAGAAGGAGAAGGAGAAGAGAAAGAACTGGGAGTAGTTGACTTAAAGAAAAGAAAATTTGAGAGAAATATGATGCCTGTCTTCAAGTGTTTGAAGAGCTGCCAAGGCTTAGACTTCTCTGTTTGGCCTCAGAGGACAGAGCTATGGGCAGCTGAGGGGAGTTAGAGGGAGGTAAATTTTAATTCAACGGAAAGAAAAAATATTCCTAACAATGACAATTATGGGCTGGCCTTCCCCAAGGGCAGTGGGTTTCCCATCAGCCAAAGCCTGCGTTTGGCTGGGGAGAGTTTAATGCGGCCCAAACACTTCTTCTTCTCTCTCTGGAAGGCTGGGTCCTGGAACCGTAGCAGGGACTTGAGCAGAGGAGTGGCCTGATGGAATCTATGCGTGAGGAGGATGATTCAGGCAGTGGTATGCAGGATGAGACACTTTTATAAATGTCTGCACCAAAGGGTGGTTCAGACTCACTGCAGCCAGTCTCCCAATGCATCCTCAGCCAGTGAGATTTAGGGAGATGCTGAACGAGATGTTCTCTGTGTTGAAGAGTACGCCTCAGTTGGCGTGTCCCCCAGGCCCTTCAGTGGGCAGATCTACACCCTCCACTGGAAGAGTCAAAGACCCACACAAAGGCTCACCACACCATACGCTCACCATGTTGAACTGTTGTTCAGGAGAGTCAGGAATCAGAGCTCAAGACGGACATGCTTGTGGCTGGTTTAAATCCAAAGCAGGGTTTCTGTGCTCTCCTCTATGGCTATAACATATGTGACACCAGCAGGAAGGGAGCTCTCAATAACCAAAGCCAGATGTTCTCCTTTCAGTGGGTCATTTCCTAGAAGCCACTTGGAAATGTTGCTGATTTAAACAGTTTCCTTGGCAGAGCAATCTACGTACAGTTGCTTTTTATTAGTTATACTTCATTTCCCACCCTGCCCACGGCCAGGGAAACCGAGGCACAGAGCCTCAATCACACTTTGAGTCAGTAGCAGAGGTAAGATAGGAGCTAAAAATAGCTCACAATTCTGTGACATTGAATTAGGTTTATAAAAGGGATTCTCTCCAACTCACTCTTCGAGGTAGACAGTCCAAGCCTAGCTTCCATCGAAGAAGAAGAGATTAAGAATCAAAAAACCTTGTGCAGGGTCACAGAACTAATGTATATTGGAGCTGGACTTAAACCCAAGTGCTCCTGCCACTGCATCATGCAGTCTATTCATTAATTAATCTGTTCTGCTAGAGCACCTCCAACTATTACTCTGACTGGAGGCAGACCCTGGCGTGTCTCCTCCTTGGAAATTCCCACAGTCTCCGCCTCAGTCCAAACCTTTATTATCACCTGCCCAGACAATGGCAACGGCCTCCTAACATCTTTCCTCCACTCTCTTTCTACTCCAAACCATCCTGCATACATACCACCATCTTATGCACAGATTTGGTCGTCACTCATCTGCTCAAGTCCCTGCTACGGTTCCCCATTGCTTACCAAATCAAGTTTCTACTTTCCCTGACGTTTCCGGCCCTTCCTGATCTGGAGTTGAGCCTTATCCCAGCTTTATATCTCCTCCTGTCCTTAATGTTCTAGAGAATCTGAATTGCCATTATCTCCTATTTCCATCTGGAGCACTCTGACCCCTGTGCCTTTGCCCATTCCTTTTGTAAGCTAAGAATATTCTCCTTCAGTTTCTGGAGGTTGAAATCCCATTGATCCTTCAAGATTCAGTTCTGATGACTCCTCCACCAAGAAGCCTTCCCTGGTCTTCCCAGGCAGAAATGATCTTGCCTTCCCAGGATCTCGTTTAATGCAGGTTTACATTTCCCTTGCATACTTCGTAATCTATAGGGTATCTCAAAAGTCTAATAATAATTTTCTTTTTCTTTTTTGTTGTTGTTCATTTGTCAGGGGGAAGGGAGTAGGAAAGAGAAAATAAATGCTTGTTAATTAGAAATATATATGAGTGAATGTGTTACCATATACTATATGATATTATGTGTAATGTATACCATATAATAAATATAATATTATTATAAAAATATTAGCTGGGATTTATAGGAAAGAAGGAAGAAAGCATTTGTTAAATGATTACTATGTGCTAAGCACTTTACAAATATTATCCCATTTGATCATCACAACAACCCTGGGAAATAGGGGGCTATTATTATCGCCATTTTGCTATTGAAGAAACTGAGACAGACAGAGGTTAAATGACTTGTCCAACATCACACAGCTAACAAATGTGATTTGAACTCAGGTCTTCATGACTGTAGATGGAGCTCAGCCCTTTTATCTACTGTGTCACCATGCTGCCACAATCCTCATCATTTCAAAAATTTGTGATGGTGTATGTGTGGGTACTCCCTCCAGCCATGAAGGTTTCCTCTATTATTCCCAAACTTAATAGATGGTCTTTGAGCCTTGTGCTGGCTTGAAATATTCCTCCCCTACCACGGTGGCAAACCTGGTCATGAGGTTCTCTGAACTTAGCAATGTTGGCCTTCAGACAATAGTCGTTTACCAGGCCTGTACTCAAAGCTTTCCTAGCTTGGTAGGACCTACCAAAGTATGCCATCAACTAGGGGCAGGACCTTTGAGAGTAGAAGCTCACTTCTGTGCCACAGAGGAGCATCCAAGTAATATTTTAGTCAAGGCTGAATGAGGCTTTAAAAAAAATAAAATGTTTATAAAATGCTCAAGATGTATTTTTCATTTGATTCTCACAATGAGAGAAAATAGTACAAATATTATTATCTCCTTTTTCTGATGAGCAAACTGAGGCTTAGAGAGATCAGGTGATTTATGCAATATAAAACCAACAACCAACAAACACAAATAGTGTTTTTTGGTGAGACAATCAAGGTTAAGTGACTCGCCCAATGTCACACAGCTAGTAAGGGTCAAGTGAAGCATAAACATTTTTAAGTAGCAGAACTTCTAGGGGTGGAGGAAGGGGAAGGGGGCTTTGAGGCCTTCATTGTGACTTTTCTGCTTCCTTGCAGGTGGCCTATGACATGGGAGATTACTACCATGCCATCACATGGCTGGAAGTGGCTGTCAGCCTTTTCCAAGGCTCCTATGGGGAGTGGAATACAGAGGATGAGGGGAGCCTAGAAGATGCTCTGGACTACTTGGCTTTTGCTTATTTCCAGGTAGGAGCATAGGTAGAACAGAGGGAGTCAGACTATTACGTTGTAAAGGACCTCAGGGGTCATCTAGTACAACCTTTATCTGAAGCATGAGCTCCAAGGGGGCAGGGACAACATCTGAATTAAACTTGTTTTAAATTCTGAACTTAACAAACAACGCAGGCATTTCCATATGCATAGTAGACCCAAAAAAAAAGGAGATTGTACACCAAGCAGCAGAACCCTATTATGTACAACTTGCTTTTATGTTTAAGTATATAGTAAATTCAACCTGTAGCTTTCAAAGTTGTACTGGTCCCCCCTGACTTTCCTTCTGTTCTCTTCTCTACTTAAAAAAGAAGTACCTCAATGACCTTTTCATTTCTTTTTTTCTTCCCTTTCCCTTCCCCACACTACCCCCCCGCAATGGAAAAAGAAAAAGAAAAAAGAAAAAGAAAGCCCTTGTAAAAAGTCAAGAAAAACAAATTCCCATGTTGGCTTAGTCCAAAAATGTTTGTCTGATTCTTCATCTTGAATCTATCACCTCTCTGTCAAGAGGTAGGGAGCGTGCTTCATTATTAAAGTTCTGGAATCAGAGTTGGTCTTTGCATTGACCAGTTGGCAAGTCTTTCAAAGTTATTTTTCTCTATAATGCTGTGTTATCATATAAATGGTTCTCCTGTTTCTTCCAACTTCATTCTGCATCGGTTCATAGAGGTCTTCATGGGTTTCTCTGAAATTGTCAATTTCACAATTTCTTATAACACAATAATATTCCATTACATTCATGTATCATAGTTTGTTTAGCAATTCCCCAATAGATGGAATCCCACCCCCACCTCATTCCCAGTCTGCCTAGGCTGAGTTTTTTGCTATTACTAAAGGAGCTGCTTAGCTAAATTTTGTATCTTTCCTCAGACACTAGCACAATGCATTCATTGTATACAGATTGGTTGAATGAATGAATATATTTATTCATTCAGTCAGTGTGTATATGCTTCTGACTCTGCTTTCTTCCCTTTGCATTATGTCAGTCAGTCGATAAACATTTATTAAACACTTACTTTTTATATGTCTCATAATTTAATTTAATTTAATTTAAAAATTAAAAGTAAGTATTCCACGGCAAATCTACTTTTCTATCTTTGACTTCTTTGGGTTATATATCCAAAAGCGGTATTGTTGGGTCAAAGGTTACAAACAGTTTAGTTAACTTTTGAAACATAATTCAAAATTTTTTTCAGAATGATTAAACTAATTCTGGGTTCCACCAACATTATATAATCTGTCTGTCTTCCCAAAGTCCCTCCAACATTGACTACATCCATCTCTTTATCATTTTTGACAATTTGATAAATGTTCAGTGATACGTCAGAGTTTTTTTAATTTACATTTCTCTTATTAATGATTTACAATATGTTTTCACACAGTTATTGATAATTTCTATTTATTCTTTTGAAAACTATTGACTGAATATTGACTGAAAAAATGGCTGAACGACAAGTGTATCTTAACATATCCTAGAATAAGGACAAAATTCTGATATGTGCAACTGGGGTGGATTATTGCAACTGGGCACATATATCTTTGTTTCATCCTTTATTTGATGTCAATACATACATGGTTTGAACATGCAATAGTGGATAAAGAGTTGACCTTTGACTCGGGAAGATCTGCATTCAAGATTTGCCTCTGACACATATCACCTGTGTAAACCCTTAGCAAGTCATTAGTTTCTCTGGGTCCCAGGCAACTGTTGAAGACTATAAGTGGCAGGACAGTTGTTGATCTGCATTGACAGAGAGAATTTCCTCATTGGGAGCTCCCTACATTAATAAGGTAACTGGACAAACAAACAAATAAAAGCACACGTGTGTATATACACATATGTGTGTGTTGTATACATACCTGTATACATATATGCAATATATAGACTAACACATATACACAAACACAATACATATGTGTGTTTATAACACATGCACACGCTCAAATATATATACACATATATGTATATATAGTAAATTTCCATGAGTATCTCTTTGCCTCAAATATTTTCACTTTACATTATTTCATATTAGTTTTGTCATATGTTCAAACTAGAACACAGGGTATATAACAAGTATTCTTTTGTAACAAATTGGACTTATAATTACAAATGAAGATTTAACTGGGTTGCCCAAGAACATATCTCCTTTGTTCTTAAGAAAGAGTACCCTAATCCTGGGGAACTGCTAAGGCACATGCCCTCCTCTATTCCTTGGAGATGTGGGGACTCCAGATATGGAACATGGCACATCAATGAAATGTGGTCTCTGCCTCTGTCGGCTTTATTTGAATTTTGTTGTTGTTTTTACAAGGAGGGGTTGGGGTAGGGGGACAGGATGCTGTTATAGGAAAATATTTGCAGTGTGAAAACAAAAGGCCACAAAAGAATTTAAAATGAGTTATTTTTAAAAAATTTTAGAAGAAAGAAAATGCATCCTGATTTTTTTTTTAAATGTGGTCTTTGAATACTATTTGGCAAAGGATGGCCAGCCCTGGGACTGTCCAAAGTATCCCACATCCTGATCTTTGCAGCAGGGTGTGGAAGGGGGAAGCAGCTTACCGACACCAGCTCTTTTGACCTGCGGAGTTTGCTGAGGTCAGGGCTTCATTTCACCCTTGACCAGGCTCAGGGAGGCTGGAACGGCAAGAACAAAATGTTAAGACAAATCCAGACAGGACTGCTTTCAGTTCCAGGAAAGTGGGCGGGAAGCTCTCTGCTTGTATGATACCATTATGGAAATATTTCTCTTATGCACAAATTCCTTGCTTCTTTGTAGATGTGAGGAAATATCAAGTCTAAGAACATTCAGTACAGAGAAGATGCAGGGGAGAGAGGAGAGCTGTCTTCCGTTATTTGAAGGGCTGGTTGTGGAAGAGAGATGGGTTTGTTCTGTTTGGCCCAGGGGGCTGATATAGGAGCAAATGGGTGCACGTTGCAAAGAGGGAGATTTAGATTCAAAGTGAGGATAACTAAAAATTAGAGTTATTTGCACAATGCAATGGGCTATCTTGGGAGGCAGGAAATTCTCCCTCAGTGGAAATTCCTTCTCACTTTAGTCTTCAACCAAAGGATGAATGACCCCTTGTCAAGGATGCTGTAGAGAGAATTCCTACTGGATGTGGGTTGGATTAAATGCTCTTTGAGGTTGCGTGCTAAGATTCTGTAATTCTCAGAGCAAGTCCCATTTTTAGAGAATAGATTTTTAGTCTTACTCAGAGGCTTAAAAAAAAAAGACTAAGAAAAGAATAGTCCCTAATGTGTGACTTTGCTCACTTTAAGATCTCAAGGCAGTTTAAAAATATACATCTTACTCATTTTATATTGAACTCCACTAAAGCCCTTTGACAATATATTTAACATTCTGCCCTAGTAGTCCCCCACCTTTTTGCCTTGAGGAAGTGGCTAGGTGGCATTGCACATAGAACGCTGGGGCTGGATTCAGGAAGACCTGAGTTCAAATGTGGCCTCAGATATTTACAAGCTGTATGACCCTGGGCAAGTCACTTAAATGTCAGTTTCCTCCACTGTAAAATGGGGGTGACAATGGCACCTACCTCCCAAGATTGTTGTGAGGATCAGATGAGATAATATTATTTTACCTCAGTTTCCTCAACTGTAAAATGGGGATAATGATCACACCTACCTCCCAGGGTTGTTGTATCAAATGAGATAAGATTTATAGAGTGCTTAGCACAGAACCTGGCACATAGTAGGTATTATATCTATTCTCTAGGATCATTTTTTTAACTTTCCAAGTGTTTAGCTTCCTTCTGATGAACTTTTCATTTGCAGTATTGTAGTTATTGTGTATCTTGTTCTTCTTTTGTTCTACAGAAGTTCAAAATCTTGCGGTTTCTATGAGTTCCTCATAGTCATCATTTCTCATGGCATGGCAGTATCCCATTACATTCATGTACCACAGTTTGTTTAGTGATTCTCCAGTTAATGGGTGCCCATTCTGTTTCTAATTCTTTACTACCACAAAGAATGTCGCTATAATATTTTGGTGAATATTGGACCTTTATCTCTATCTTTGACTTCCTTGGGAGTATATGCCCATCAGTGAGATTGCTGGGTCAAAGGCTGTGGACAATTTAGTCATTTTTCTTGTATAATTCCAAATTGATGCCAACTCCAAATAGTTGGAACAATTCATGCTCCACCAAAAGTGTATTAATATGTGTCTTCCCATAGCAACTCCAACACTCACTGTTCCTGAGTTGCTTTTTTTTTCTTTTTTTGGTCATCTTTGCCGTTTTTCAGGATATGGTTTGGAGCATGTTTTCAAATGTCACTCACTGTTTTTGCAATTCTTTTAAAGACTTCTTTAGCTATGGAAATACAGACAAATGTGAGATAGTTCCTGCCCTTGGGGAGCTTACATTTTATTGGGAGAAACAATTTTCACACATACAAGTAAATATAAACTATAAACGAATTAGCCTAGGGTTTCCCAAAGGACCCTGGTCTTATCCAAACCAGATCTGATCCTTCGAAAGAACCCCTAAAAATGTTCAGTTTCTTCTTTTGGCTTAACTTTTGAAAACTGTTCATATCCTTTAACTACTTATCTACTGTGAAATCAGTCTTGTGATGCTATCTGTGTCAATTCCCATAGATCATGGAGCTCAGACTTTTGTCCATTATGTCTGAAGCAGATGTTTTAACCACTCTGTAGTTTCTGTTCTTATTCTTGCCTTCATTTATTTTATTCATGCAAAAAGGCTTAAGTTGTTTTTTTTTTCTTTTTTTGGTAATTGAAATGGATTTATTTTGTGTTTTATGGTCTCCTTGGTCCTTTCTTTGGTTAAGAATTCTCCTCCAAGTAATAGTTATGAAAAATATGTTCTCTTGTCCTAATTATTTTTATGATGTGCTTTTTTATATTCAGGTTGCATATCCATTTTAAGTTTGTTGTGGTACAGGGTGTTAAGACTTTGCTCTAGAAAATTTCTTTTTTTAAAAAAACTTAATAGATTTTATTGACAACTTTTGTTTTTATATCAGTAATTTCTAGATAGAGCATTAATTTCCTCCACTCTCACTCTGGAACAAAGAAAAACAATTAAGCAAAAAAAAAACCTGACATAGTGACCCTGTCAGACAATGTGTGCAACATTCTGCCCCTGTAGTTCCCCACCTCTCTGCCAGGAGGAGAGAAGTATGGGTATAACCCTAATTTCTGCCAAATAGTTTTCCAGCTCTCCCAACAGTTCTTGCCCAGAAGGATAACTCAATTGTTTATTTGTAGAGTGTGACTTTGGGAAATAGTATGGATGGCATAGGAGAAAGAACACTGGTTGTGGAGTCAGAGAACCTGAATTCAAATTCAGCTTCTGACACTTACTACCTGTATGACCTGCACTATAAAATTATGGGGCTGGGCCAGATTGCCTCTGAGACTCCTTGCAATTATAGATCTAGGACCCTAGAAGAGTGGTGAGAAGTTTTCCTATAAATGAGGAAACAGAAGCAGTGACTTTCCCAGGACCACACGTTGAGGTGCTGGCAAGTCCTGGATTAGAACATACAACGTCTGAGTTTCTAGTCTATGCTGTTCATCTCAATGAGCTTCCTTGTTTACCTGTGGTGAGAAGTACGTTGGAGGTATTTTCTTAGAAGTCATAGCATGATGCAGGGGAAAGAATGCTGGTCTTAGGAGTTCAAATACTGGCTTGACACTCATACGCTGCCTGATTCTGGGCAGTCAGTTTCCTCATCTGTGAAATGGGAATAATAATACATCTCCTTCACAGGATACTGGTTAAAGTGTTTTGTAAACCATAAAACAGTACAGAAAATTATTACTGGTATTTGGTATGCCTGGGCCATTCTAACTAACCATATTCTTTCCTCTTTGTTGTAGGCAGGAAATGTTTCTTACGCCCTCAGTCTCTCCAGAGAGTTCCTTCGCTACAGTACGTAATGACAACAAAAAACTACTGGTTTACTGGAAATTTTCTATTCCTGGAGGAAACTGTCTGGGGAAGTAGTGAGCTCCCTGTCGCTGGAGTTGCTCAATGAAGCCGAGTGTGTGTCAAGGATATTGTAGTAGGAATCCACATGTGAGGTTGGGACTTTTGACTTCAGAGTCGAGAACTCACTGATGAGGAAACTCCCTCTGCCAGTATAGATTATTTCCTTCTCTACAATTTATAATTTAAGAGAAAGCCCAGGGCACTGAGAGTGACTTGCCTAGGGTCACACAGTCAGTATATGTCGGAAGTGGGATTTGAACTCAGGTCTTCTTGGATCTGAGGCCAGTTGTCTAACCATTATAGCATGCTGCCTTTAAAGAGTTGATGTAGGTAGTGATACAAATAAACTCACATGTAACATCACTTTCAGCGCTTTTGTAACAACCTCATTGTGAGGCATGCGTGGAAGGCATCATCATGGCTCCCTTCTTACAGATTCACAAACTGTGGCTTTCAGGGATTCATGGATTTCTAGTAAGAAAGGAGGGACCCTAGAGATCACCTAATATAATACCCTTATTTTTCAGAGGAGGAAACTGAGGCTCAAGGGTTAACTGATTTGCCTGAGGCTCAAAAGCAGGCAATGACGGAGCCGGGATTTGAGCAGTTCCAGATCCCCACCTTCTCTCCACTTCTCCAAGTTAATTTAGCTGACAAAGGTCACACTATAATAATATATGATAATAAAGGTAGAGCTGGGACTGAGCTGAGCTTCCTGGGCCCAAGTATGCACTCTTTCCTCTATCCCACACTAATGTAACCTCCCATGGCTTTCAATTCTAGGATTCCAGGGTTCTTGGCTATCTTTCACCTCCACAAACTGAATTCAGGCATCACAGATAACAATTCTTTAATTTTTCTATTGCAGAGGTATGTTCTTAATTTTTTGAATGTGTTCATTCCAAGTATGTACCTGCATGTCAACAGATTGGGGCATAGCTTTTTTTTTATGTTGTCAGTTGTAAAGGAAGGAAGTTCCCCTTTTCCCTTCCCTGCACCCCCATAGTCAGACCTCAGTGTTGGCTGAGGTATGAAGCAAGTTTTGGGGGTGGGGGTAGAGTGGAGAGGCGAACACAAGCCAAATTCAGAGACCAGAGATTTGGAAACAGATCTGGAACTGAGAAGCATCAATGGGAGCTGTGTGTGAAGGAGAAAAACTCCACAAGATTCGCTCTGTCTGTTTACCTAAGGATATCGATTTTTCCTCTGAATCCTACCCATCTTCCTGTGTTTCTGTGCCCTGAACTGGTCAGCTGTGGAATTCAGCTCCAAGCTCCCCAAATGAGTTTGGCCCCTCACTGGCACCACCTCAAGATTCCTTGGAATGGAGATGGAAGAACATTGGACCTAGAGTCAAGAGACATTTCCTAACGCTATGAGGCAGGAGGGTAGAGAGGAAAAACTTTGTCTCTAGAATCAGGGGAACTGGGAGCAAATCTTGCCTCTGGTACTTACCTGTTTGACTTTGTGCAAGTCACTCAACATTTCAAAGCCTGTTTCCTCCCTTGTAAAATGGTGATGAGCTATTCTAACTTGAAATCATGTGACCTTCAATCTCAGTTTCTTTACCTGCAAAAAGGGGAGCACTAACACCTGACTTGCCTGACTCTTAGGGTTGTTGTGAGGAAGGTGATAGAGACATGGCAGCTCACATATATGGACAGAGATAGAAACATATCTGGGTGGCCCAGGGGATATAGTGCTGGGCCCAGAGTCAAGATGTATCCTCATAAGTTCAAATTCGCCCTCAAACACTTACTAGCTATGTGACCCTGGGCAAGTCCCTTAACCCTCTTTGCCTCAATTTCCTCATCTTTAAATGAGCTGGAGAAGGAAATGACAAACCACTCTAGTATCTTTGCTGAGAAAACCCCAAATGAGGTCATGAAGAATCAGACATGACAAAAAAAAACTGAGTAAGAGACATATTTATGCAGATGGACATGGGAGCTATGCATATTTATTATCTAAGTAAACCCCTGAAAGGTGGCATGCCATAAAGGTTAATGAGCCTGCCTTGGAATCAAAGACTTGAGTTCAAGTCCCATCTCTAACACATTCTGGCTATGTGACCCAGGGTGAGCCCCTAAACCAGTGCTTCCAGGCAACTCCCTTAGATTCCAGAGAAGATGCTGGCCTGCAGCCGCAGAGGGAGTTTTCTCTCCAGGGAGATTAGTACAGCTATGTGATCTCTGGACTTCAGTTTCCTTATCTTTAAAATGAAGTGGTTGGATTATATGACTTCTAGAGGCCCCATTTAGCTCTAGCAGCTAGGTGGCACAGTGGGTACATGCTGGGCCTGTAGTAAGGAAGACTCGAGTTCAAATCCATCCTGACCTTGGACAAGTCACTTAACCTCTATGTCTCTCTTTCTTTACCTGTAAAATGGAGATAATAATAACCCCTTACCTCCCAGAATTGCTGTGGGGATCAAATGAGATAATAATAATAAATCACTTAGCACAGTGTTTGGCATATAGTAAACATTGTATAATTGTTAGCTACTATTATTGTTATTATTATGTTTTCTCATCTGTAAAATGGGATCACAATACCTCATAGGAATTTAATGAGGAAAGTGCTTTGCAAACATTAAAGCACATTTAGAAACATGAGCTATTATTATTGTTTGGGGAAAAAAACCCAAACAAGTCCTCCCTGTTCCCCTTTGACATTTTGGTTGATACTTCTAGTATCAGCTTTCCTCTCAGACCTTCCTTAGTCTAACAGGATCTCATTCTGATCACTACCGTTGGTGACTTTTTTTAAATTAAAATTTTTTTAATTAAATTTTAAATTGGCTCCTGTTTCTATAATGCCTTAAGGCTTAGCAAGCCCTTTCCTTACAGTTGGGAGTACAAGGATTATTGTTCTCTTCCCCCCTCCCCCAGGTTACAGATATGTATTTGACAGATGCTATGACTTAGAAGTGACTTGTCTGTGTGGAAGTCTCATCCTTCTACTAGACTGTGAGCTCCAGTGAGGACAGGCACTAATTATGTGTAATCTAAACTTCCAGTCTTCCTAAGCACCTAGCATTGTGCTGGGCGTGGAATATGTGCTTAATAAATATTTGTTGAATGAGAAAACAGACTCAGAGAAGTTGACTGATTTAGCTTGTTAGGTCATTTCGAAGTGGAATCCCTTCTTTTTCCATTGAGGAAGCTGAGGATTAGAGAGCAGAGGAGCCTTACTTACCCAATGTCAAGCAGCAAATTAGTGGCAGAGGAAGGATGAGCCCTAAGATCTCTGGGCACTTAATTCAATGTATCAAAAACAAAACAAAACCAAAAAAAAAAAACCAACAACAACAACTATGCTACACCATCTCTTTTATACTTTCTGGCCACGTGTCTGATTTAAATATGGCTAATAAATTGGGAAGGCAGAAATTGAACCCAGGTCCTCTGACTCCAAATCCAGGGTCCTTTCCACTCTATCTCACTGCCATGAGAGTTGTACTTATTCAGTATTTCTTACAACAACTTCATGAAGCAGTGTTTTCTTTTTAGAGATACAGAGGCAGAGAGAATATTTCTATTGCTGCTATTATTAATAACACTTAAAGTAGTTCCCCTTTAGGTCATTTAGCTCAGGGGTCAGCAAACTATATAAGATTGCCAGAGCCTGCATCCTTAAATCCTCAGAAGGTAAAAGAGTTCCTGTTGACCAGCCCCTTCACGCACCAAGAATATAGGTTAGAGCTGCAGGGGATCATGCAGTGGACAGAATGCCAGGCCTCATCTGTAAAATGAGCTGGAGAAGGAAATGGCAAACCACTCCAGTATCTTTGCCAAGAAAACTCCAAATGGGGTCACAAAGAGTCAGACACAACTGAACAACAAAAACAGGAGATCCATGCGCAGCTGCCCTGATCTCATTTTAAGTAACATCATTAGTCCCTTCCAACTCTAAACCTATGCTCCTAGAAATTCAAGAGTTCTGGGGTACTCAGACCCTGGAACTCAGGTTCTAGACTTTCCTGGAGTTTTGCGTGTGTGACACTGGAAAGAGAACTGTTTGGAGGCAGAAGATTTGGGTTTGAATTCTTACTCTGCTACATACTTCCTATGTAACCATGGCTAATTATAATAGCTAACATTTATATAGTGCTTACTACGAGCCAGGTACTGTGCTAAATGCTTTATAATTATGTATTCATTTGATCTTCACAACAACCCGAGGAGCTAAGTGTTATTATTATCCCCATTACAGATGAAGAAACTGAGGCAGGCAGAGGTTAAGTGACTTGCCAAGGATCACACAGCCAGTAAGTGTGTGAGGCCAGATTTGAACTCAAATCTTCCTGATTCCAGCCCTGGCACTCTATCTATTGCAATTAACCTCACTGGGTATCAATTTTCTCATCAGTAAACTGAGGGAGCTAGAGTAGATGACTAATATAGTCTCTTCCAACTCTAAATCTGTCATCCTATAATGCAATCCTCTGTTGATGCCTTGATTTAGAAATAAGAAATTTCTTATATCTTTGTTTTCTGCCCAGACACACATGCATATAGGCAGATCCAGATTTATGAGGCTTAGCCTAGCCCTTACCTAATACCTTAGTTCATATGTAATCTAATTCTGGGGTAGAAGTTACCTGCAAAAGGAGCATCTAGACATAGAATCTTTGGTTCAAAGAACATTACAGCTGAAAAGGACCTTAGAGATCATTTGATCAATTCCCCTCATTTTACAAAGGAAACTCTTAAAATGAAATTTTATTGGTATAAATGTAAAGTCCTACACTTGGATTCAAAAAATCAACCATACAAGCAAAGGATAAAGAAGTATGTCTAGGCAACCATTCCTATCAAAAAGTTATAGAAGTGTTCATGCACCACAAATTCAGTATGAGTCAACAATTTGTCAATATGACAGCAATGGAAGCTGGTTTTATCTTGGGCTGCATTCAAAGGCATACAAAGATGATAGTACTGTTGACCTCTGACTTGATAAAAAAACACCATGGGGGAAATGGGGTACAGTTCTGGTGCCACATTTTAGGAAGAGTGTTGACAAACTAGAGGACACCCAGAGGGATCTGACCAGGATGAGAAGGGGTCTGGAGACCATAGTATTGGTTGAAGGAAATTGGAATTGTGCAAGTTGTAGAAAAGAAGACTTGGAAGCAGGGACATGATGTCTGCTCTCATATATTTGAAGGGATATCATGAGGATAAGGAATTTATTTTTTTGGCTTCACCTCAAGAGTACAGAACTAGGAGGAAGATGTGGGAGCTATAGAGGGGCAGACTTGGAGTGAGAGGTCCTGGGATCCAATCCTGTTTCTGCCATTTACTACCTATGTGACCTTGGACAAATCCTTTCACCTTTCTAGGCCTGCTTCCTAACTGTAAAATTAGGAAATTCTACTAGAAGACCTCAAAATTCACTTATATCTCTAAATCTATGGTCCTAGGATCTTTGATAGATAGATGGATGAATAGATGGACAGATTGATGGTTAGATGGATGGATAGATAGACGTATAGAGAGATAGATGGGTGGATAGGTAGATAGATAGATAGATAGATAGATAGATAGATAGATAGATAGATAGATAGATAGATAGATAGATGGATGGATGGATGGATGGATGGATGGATGGATGGATGGATGGAT